AAAGGTTCTCAAAGAACCAGACCTCAGCCCTGCAGAAACCTGTGGAAGGACCGTGAGATGGGAGAAGGACGCAGATAACACCAGTTGAGGGCTGGTTAATCCACCAGCATCTTACTGCACAAGCAAACTTCTGCCAGCTGAATCCAGTTATCAGATAATTCGTGGATTGTGCTGACATCCGACCACTTAGAGCTAAACTCTATTCCGTGCTCATAAACCTATTAGATGAAAACGCCTCAATTTAGATAACTGCAAATTGCTTTCTGAGCCTTAATTTCCTATTAGTTCGTTAATCTCTCTATTCAGAGTGCCAACAAGACAGCTGATGATAATTCCGGAGGAAGTGGGCATTAAACCAAAGCAGGAGGGAAGGGGGTTAGACATTAAGAAAAGGTTTCTGGCTTCCTGGGTGGATATGGCACCCCAAAGTTAATTCATAAAGTTAGTAATAGTATTATCTTTCATTAATTAAGCACTTACAATGGGCCAAGGACTAGGATGAGCACTTTACCGAGTAATTATCTTATTTTTTTTAAAACAATCTAGTGAGGAAGATATTATTATTCCCATTCCACAGAGAAAAAGACTGAGGCTCAGAAAGGGTCTCACAATCAGTTGGTGGCAGAGACAGGTGTGTCTGACCGACAGCCTGGGCTCCTAATCATATGTTATCTTTTTAATTCATCACACAAATATTTACTGGATGAATTTACTGGGGAGACGATAATGAACAGACCCAGATCTATAGAGTGAGGATAAGGGATGTAAGAAGAGAAGACCCTGAAAAATAATCAGCCCAGACTGCCCATCCTTACAAAAACATGTCACATTGTGAAATGTCCAGCTGGACAATAAAGTTTGACTTTTTATTTTTTGGCAGCTGGTTGGTATGAGCTTATAACTTGACCTTGGTGTTATAACACCACACTCTATCCAATTGATCTGGCCAGCCAGCCTGACTTTGTTTTTTAAACTACTACTTCTGTGTAGAGCGGTGGTTCTCAAAGTGGGGTTCCAGAACCAGCAGCAACAGCATCACCTGTGAGCTTGTCAGAAATGCACATTCTGGGGGACCACCCCAGACCCATTTACTGAATCTGAGACTCTGGGGCTGGGAGGGGCACCAACAATCTGTGTTTTAACAAATCCTCCAGAGGATTCTGATGCATGCTCAAGCTTGAGACCCATCATCCAGAAAAGAAAAGCAGCCCGGGAAAGGAATTTGGAGAACATTCAGAGCAGTGTTTCTCAAACTTTAATGTGCACAAGAATCACCAGGACCATCTGAAACTGCAAATTCAGATGCAGCAGGTCTGGGGTGGGGTCTGCGATTGTGCATCTCTAACCAGCTCCCAGGTGCTGCTGACACCACTGCTCCAGGGACCACACATGGGTTAGCATGGGTGCGACCCACTCCCTTTCTCCCAGGAAGATTCTGGCAGTAACAGGACCAGGATTTCTCTGGGTTAAAAAAAAAAAAAAATCACTATCCTTAGGGCAGATTCAAATCCATGCCTGTGGCATGTTTTAGGAGGACAGCATATGACCTGAAACACATACTACAATTTTTCAAAGTTCTCACTCAGGTATGAGACCTTCCCTGGCCACTTTAATTAAAACTGCAGTGCCCACCCTGGCCTCTCCTATCTCCCTTCTCTGCTTTGTCCTTTTTGTTAGCACTTAGCATCATCTGATGATATGATCTGTTTTACTAATTTACTTTGTTTACTATCTGCCCACCTCACACATCCACACTAGCATATAAATTCCACCAGGGCAGAGACTTTGTTTTATTCACTGGTGTTTCCCCAGTGCCTACAACAGTGCCTGGTGCATAGCAGATACTCAATAAACATTAGTTGAATAAGTGAACAAATAATTCTGCCAGTTTCTGTAAGAAGCTGCCTCTATTACTCAGTGACTCCTCTCTGAAATTCCGCCTGCTGCTGCTCTTTTTGCATGCACTTCAATTTCATTGAAACTCATTTCTCTATAAGTGTGTGATGGAGTTTGGATGTATTGTCCTCCCAGAACTCATGTGGAAATATGATCCCCAACGTGGCAGTGTTGGAAGCTGTTTGAGTCACAGGGGTGGATCCCTCATGAATGGGTTAATGCTCTCCCTGGGGGGTGGGGATAGTGAGTGAGTTTTCACTGTATTAGTTCCCACAAGAGCTGGTTGTTTAAAAGACCCTGGCACCTGCCTCCCTCCCTCTCTCTCGCTCTCTCTTGCTCTCTCTCGCTCTCTCTCGCTCTCTCTCACTTCCTCTTGCCATGTGATCTGCTTGTACCCACCACCACTTTCCACCATGAGTAGAAGCAGTCTGAGTCCTGCACTAGATGCAGCTGTCCTAAAATTGTGAGCCAAAGAAACCTTTTTTCTTTACAAATTACCCAGTCTCAGGTACTCTGTTGTAGCAACACAAAACAGACTAATACAGTGTCTCTCCTCTAAATTCTTTGACAATGGGGCCTGCATGGTACCCATTTCTACCCCTCATCCAACCCTTCCATCAGCCCATAATTGCATCTAAAAATTTTCCAGTCTTTGAAAACACATATAAGTGACCATTCACCCTCACTATAATTAATACAAACACTGCAGGATTTTTATTCATAGAATAGCAAGTTTGAAGTTCAACTGGCGATATCAGGAATGCATGCTCATAATTATGTACTAGGGATAGCTCTAAATCCTGTTGTAGTTTATACAAGCACAATGTCAAAACTTCTTAAGCATGCCTGTACTTCACAGCAGCTGCAGCAGCTGCTTTCACCATTTTGGCAGTTTTTCTAAGGGCTGAGCAAATTGGTGAGATCAATGGTGCAATCCAACCACAGCTGGTTTGAATTCTGCCTCCTACATGCCAGAAGCCATTTTTGCTCAAGATGGATTGGGGAGGAATGCTCTTTGATAAAACATTGTAATCTGGGGCATTGACTCCTTCCAACAGCACAGTGGTGGGCACTAATATCACACCCACTTTGCTGATAAAGAAACTGAGCCCTGAGATAACACACCTCTCAAGCTCAAGCTCAGACAGGGAGTTCAGCAATGGAGCAAACTTAGTTCTGACTGCTTCCAAACCCTGTTCCTTGCACCCAGCCCTTCCCAGTCTCCTCCTCCACCCCTGGCAGGGCCTGAGCCTTTGCTCATTACTTCTAGAACAGAGAGCACAAGCGGAGACCACCTTTAAGTTCTGCCTCTAGTGCTGAAAATTAAAAGGTCTTGGGAAGTGATCTGCCTTGCTGACTCCCAGCTGTATCCCTGTCACCTAATTACCTGACTTCAAAGCCTCCACGTGGCAGGTGTGAGGATGTGAAAGCTCCTGTTTCCCCACAGAACTCAGTGTAAATACATGCAGATGAGACACAGGGCAGCCAGTATACCAGGGAAATCAGACAGCCTGCAAGCCACACCTGAGAGCTGGCCTTAGGCCTCTTGGAGTCAGTAAGACCAGAGGCCACCTGGGAGCCTGGGTCCAGGTAGGGATGGTGGCCTCAAAATACTAGTGCTTGGTAATTACTGCCTCCACCTCCCTTTATGCCACAGTGTTTAAGACTGCTCAGGGGCTGAAACTAATCCTCCCCACAACTCCAGGGTGGAAGGGAGCTCAGCCATACCTTCATTACTCAGGTGAGCCTACTGGGCTGGGGGAGCAGGGGCTGGGGAGAGTGAGTACTCACCTCTGCTGCTATCTCACCTCCACTGCAAGGCAGGGATGGATGCAGGGAGGCTGGAGAGGGTTCAAATAAGAGTTCCCTGCCTGGGCTAGACAAAGAAGAGCAAGGCTAGAGGGGAGAGAGGGATTCCTAGGGTCCTTTTAGTGACTCCTACAGAGCTACCGGATGTGCATTCATTTGTAACTACTACATACAGTTGAATGTTGTTGACTGTTTTATAGTAACTGGTCCTGAGGGGGTATTTAATATGTGTTTACGGAAGGAGAAAGAGAGGCTAGACAGGAATGCATTGGTGACTTCTTACAGAGGACCGAATTCTAAACCGGGTAGTGCGCTTTGGCCTGTGTGCTGATTTATTGAATGCTCACTGGCACCTGAGGCAGGTGTGATGATGATTCCTTTCATGTGGATGAAAATACTAGAAGTGTGAGGTGGCTTGCCCAAGGTCACACAACTACAAAGCAGTAGAGCCAGGATTTGACCCCAGCTCAGTTGGACTCCAGAGCCCACGGCTGATGTCACAGTTTTCTCCTGCCTCCCAACCTTTTGCCAGCCATAACCTGGAATGGGTGTGGTGAAGGGAAGGGAAGTGGGGGGCTTGGGGGGTCTGGCCTTCTCACTAGAACTCAAGACACTCCAGACATACATGATGCCACAGAAAGTGAGTAGAACAGGAGCTAGGGGTCTGGGTTCTAGTCCTGACTACCACTTCTGAGCTGTCACTTTTCCTTGCTGAGACTCAGCTTTCACATCCGTAAACTGGGGAGAATTTTAACACTCTTTCAGAGAGGTACTGTGAGCAGAAAGAATCAAGGAGAAAAGGACTTTGCAAATTCTAACACAAGGATTGGCAAACTACAGCTGAGGGCCAGAGCTAGCCTGCAGCCTGTGTTTGTAAATAAAGTTTATTGGAATAAATAAATTTGTGAAGTCTGTTTCTGTATTGTCTATGGCTGCTTTTGGGCAGTTGACCATTTGCAACAGAGACCCTATGGTCCGTAAAGCTTAAAATGTCTACTGTCTGGTCAACTAGAGACATAGTTTGCCAACCCCTGACCTTGTGACAATGTAGGCAGCACTGTGCTGCAGCAGGCAGAGTTATTCAGAATTGAATAACTCTGCTTCTTATTCAGAATTGCTTCTCTGATCCTCAACCCAATTGCAGAGGTTCATTTAAGATCCATTTCTGAAAAAAAGAAGCAAACAATTCTCCCAAGAGTCAGGAAACCAAACTCTCGTAAGCTATTTTTGAGCCCAGTATGGCGCTAGCTGACATCAGGCGCCACGACAAGTCTCTCCAAGGCACAGCCACTTACTTGCAGTTTTTACATTTGAGGCCAAAAAGCATTCCTTTCCCACAGACTGTGCATGTCTGAGACATCCAGTACTTGGTGGAAAACCTGTGGAAAAGAGACAGAAAATGTTCAAGGGAAGGCAATGGCAGCTGACCTATCTCTAAGAGGATGAACCAATTAAAGGGTAGGCACATGAGCCCTGGATTCCAGTCCTGCTTCTTCTGAGATATGTGGCTTAATCAAGTTGCCTAAACCACAGGAGCCTCAGTCTGCTCATTTGTAAAGTGGGGATAATAAGAGTGTTGACCTCACAGGTTGTTGGGAGGATTAAACAAGGTCATGCATGTCAAGGGCTTCCCAGAGCACCTGGCATATAGTAAGTGCTCAGTGAATTGGGTTGTAACTACATTGTCACCTTGAACATTCATAACAGTCATTCATTCATTTGACAAATATTGCCTGGTGGCTTATTATGTGCCAAGCTTAGTTCTAGGACAGAGCAATGGATGGGGCTGGAACAGACCTCAGAGAGCCACAAAACAAGTAGGGCCCCTGGAGGAGGACCCACTGAGACATTCTCCATCATTGCTAGTCACATCACCTGGGAAGCTTCAAGGGGCCCTCCCCTCCCAAAAGAGCAGAGACCCCAAACTTTAGTAACAGAGAGAGTCCCCGAGAGTGAACGCCTTTTCAGACCATCAGCTCAGCTCCCTCACCGACCACCAACACTTGCTGCAAACATAAGGCAATTTGAAAGTCTCCCATCCACAGCTATGAACCAATGGGAGCAGAGGCACATTAGATTAACTCTCTGCCCACCGCCCCCACCCCCAGGCTTTCTTCCCCAGGAGATATGAGACAGCGGCAGGGCTGGGCTCAAGAAAAGTACTGAAGGTTGCTGGGTCATGGTTAATTTTAATTTCCAATTTGTGTCACCGTCAGCAGGAGTTGTATCTAATCTCCACTGCCTCAGAGTGTCAAAAGGGAAATCGGAAGTGGTTATGTAACATGGAGTCTGAGAATTTTGAGGGAAAGTTTGCATCCTTATGCTGCACCATCTTACCTAATCTGGGTCAGTCACCTGCCAAACAGAATGAGCCTGAGCCTGAAGCTTCCATATCTAAGCAAATAGCAATATTCTGAGCAGAGACCTTGTTGCCAAGAAAACACTCCCTCTCCAGTTTTGGGCTTGGGGGTTGGTTAAACCTCTTTCCATCCCTTCAGCAGGGTCAGTGATTTTAGCAGGGTCTGTTTTGTGGGATTTGGCAGCTGGGAGAGATGGCAAATGGGCTTGTGTTTCACCCAGCAGCCAGGGGCGCCAAGGGGAAGGCAGGCAGAGTGAGTGGCACGGGGCAGCTTTTTCTCCTTTCCAGCCCTCTCCCATCCCCAGGATTAGCTCTCCGTCTTTCCCGGCTCTGGCTGGGGTGACTCTAATGACAGTGGATGGGATTTTAATTTCATTTCTCCACTAAGGCTGGGGTGAGTCCAGGTCTTTTCCTCCTGGCATTCAGTCTGGGGAGAAACCAGGGAAGACTGAAGAGTAACAGGCCATCCCAAGTCCCAGCTCCTCTAGGAAGACGTTCCTGATGCTCAGGATTATCAGGCGGCTTCCCTCCTCTGGGCACCAGCATCTGAATCAGAGGTACCACCAGGTTCTTATATTTGGGTGAGAGCAGGCCTGGGGACAGGGCTGAGCCAGGGGATAGAGCTGAGCCAGGGGGTGGAGTTGAGCCAGGGGTGTGGCCACCAACGGGTGTGGCAGAGCCGGGGACATGGCCAATCCAGGGATGGATATAAGCCAGGGGCGGGGCCAGTCCAGGAACAGGCAGAGCCAAGGGGTGTGGTCGATCAAGGGGTGTGGTGAAGCCAAGAGGCCATGAGGAAGCAAACTCACAAAAAGTCCCCCATCTCTGATGCTCTTCTCTCTGCAGCTCAGTGCCTGACCACGGATGTGCCTATCACTTATTTCTCACTGCTTCCTCCAACATTTTCTCATTTGAATCTTAACAACTATTCAGTCAACATACTTTTTTCAAAAGCTGTTGACGAGGTGTCATTCCATGAGAATGCTCATTCCCGCCTTGCCCCCAGCTACGGCCATGTGTCTGCCCCTAGTATTACCACCCACCCCCCATAGCCCTGATCCCTCCGAACTGTCATGGTCTGTTAACTGTCTGACCCTCCCCTAGACCGCAAGCTCCCCAAAGGCACATGACTTACTTCTTGCTCAGTGTGGCACAGAAACTAAAAATACTAGTAGATAGAATCCATGAACGAGTGAGTAAGTTGCTCAGCTAGTTCACAGAGGCCCCTGTGCAAAGAAACTTGCTGAGGCTAATTAGCATTTAGACCCATTGCTGAATGTTCCAAGGCCTCAGTTTCCCTATCTGTCACATGGGCATAACCACACTTGCCCCACTGACCCCACTGAGTTTGTGAGGAGATTGTGAGGATGAGACAAAATGTAGAAAGTTAAATTTGGGAAGTTAAAGAACTTCTTATAAGGGATGATTAGTAGATACACACCCCTCCCTCCCAAAAAGGGCATACCCCAGGAGAGGTTGCCCCGTGCAGCCAGCAGGACTGGAGCTCTGGACTGACCTACATCCCAGCAGAGAGTGAGCACCTCTGAGTTCAGCCTGCAATGTTGTGTCTTCTGGGTGGGGAGACCCAAAATTAGTTCATAAAGCATTTACATTAACAATGATGCCGTTTAGTGAGTGTTTATTATGTTCCAGGCCCCATGCTAAACACATACGTTATCTTATTACATATATTTTCTCATTTAATCATTACAACCACCCTACAGGCAGAATTAATTGATGAAAAAATTAACCCTCAGAGAGGTCAAGTAACTTCCTCAAGGTTGCAATGCTTTCTTTTCCATCTGGGATGGGAACACAGGTTAGCCTGACTCCAAAGTCCTGGCTTTTAACCACTATGTGCTAATTTTATAAAGGTTAGGTTAATAAGAAGCAGATATCTCTGTCCCCCGTTTGCCACTTTTGAGGTTTAGCCTGGCCAAGGAGAGAGGGGCATGGTGATGTAGGAGCTGGAGCAAAACACTCCACCCAGCCTCCCCTCACCCCGGGGCAAGGGGCCAGAGCCCTCACCCCTCACAGAGTTGGGAGGTGGGCACCAGTGCACACAGGAATACAGCCTACCTGTGCTTGATGGAGTTGCCAAGGTCTCTGCGAGGGATCTGCGGGGACCAGCGTGGCACTGACAGTGTGTCTACAGAGAGAGAACAGAGACAAATTGCCTGTTACACAGCAGGTCGGAGGTTGGGGTGGGCTCTGGCCAAGCCTTGGACGGGAAAGGGAGGCTTGCAGGCCTCAGGAAGGACACCAACTGCCACCACTTGCTGAACCAAAGCCAAGTGGAATGCTGGGTTATCTTGCTACCTAAAGTCACACAAGGTCCCATGGAGCAGGGCAGCCATGGGATGCCCTAACAGAAGCCAGCTGTGGAAAGAATAAAATTGAACATCACTTCCACTTATGGAGGACATAAATGCCAGGCATATGCTAAGTGACTCACAGGACTTAGCTTGCTACATCCTCAAACAACCCCTAGAATATGGGTTGCCAGCATCCCCACCTTACAGATGAAAAAACTGAGGCTTGGAGAGGAGAAGTCATCTGCTCAAGGTCATACACTTTGTAGGCTGCATAGCAGCTGTGAATCCAGGTTTGAAGGACCCTAGAACATGTGCCCTTGCATGTAAAGTTATAAAGCAGTAGATTCTAAATGCCAATCATGCAAGTGACACCTTGTAATTTTTGCCATGCCTCTGTACAACCTGTAAAATTATTCACTTACCATTTTAAGTTGACTCCATTTTTGTGTTTAAATATATTTATTTCAAAGTTGAACTCTGTACAGAAAACCATACCACTTTCTGTATATTGTAAATAATTATTTAAAAAATGTCCAACCATGTACCAGCTAAAGTCATGCTAGTATAAGTTAATGGATGGATGAGTGAATGAACGGGTGGGTGGGTGGATGGATGAGTGGGTAAGTGGATGGATGGGTGGATGGATGGATGGATGGATGGGTGGATGGGTGGATGGATGGATGGATGGATGCATGGATGGATGCATGGATAGGTGGGTGGATAAACGATTGCATAGAGAGATGGGAGGATGGACGCATGCACGAGTGATTGGGAATGAGGAAGAAACAATACACCATGCAGACTTCGAACTAGGTGCTTGTCCCCCTTTGGGTCCCCCCCCCCCATGCCTTAGGCTAACTCCCAGCAAACTGCACTATTGTTCCATCTCTAACTGAGTTCTGGGCCTTCTGCAGACCTTGAGCACCAGCCCCCACCATCCCCCTACTGCCCAGCTGCCCTCACCCCTATCCTGGTAGACCTCACAGGCCCCGGAGAAGTGTGAAACAACAGTAGAAATGAAACAACTAGTGCTGCCTGTGAAATCTCCACCAGATAGAAAGAGAAGCAGCCAGTGGCTGACCCACACGCCAGCTCTCATTTCTCAGGCCAGATGGATGGAGCCAGCTCCCTGTTTTCGGAGCTGCAGATGCACGCCTCATTTTTCACAGCAATTGTTATGGAGTGGCGCTCTCATTGGGGAGCCAGGCATGTCAGAACCTATCAGGGAGCATTTAACCCCCAGCCCTCCACTCCTCCCTTCTGTCTAATGACACTGTCCATTGGCAGCCATCTGAGAGCTGTTTCCAGAAACCCCAATTCTGCCCTTGTAAAGCTGGGACCCTTTCTGAGAGAGCTAATAATTTTCCAAGCCCCAAAGGGCAGAGAAAACCCATGAGGGAGACAATGTGATATGTCAATCAGAATCACGGCCAGTGGAATTTCCTCTAGTTTAACTAGAAACTAAAAGTCATCAAGCTCAAGCCCATTTTACTACTTGTTTCAGTGTCTGAGGGAAACAAAAAAGGCAAGAATGAAAAACAATTTTAAAAAGAGGATTCTTTCTATTCCTGTCTCCTTTGGGGATTAAGTCAGATATGGGAGGAAGGATGTTACCTGTTAACTCCTTAAGGTGCTTCCTCAGTGTCAGGGGTGGGCAGAGATTTGAGGACTGTGCTGGAGAGGGAGGGTGAGCCTCCCCATGAGGAATCTACAAAACTAGGAGTGCCAAACGGGTTTCATCTCATGGGACATTAGCAGTGGCTTTCTAGAGAGGTGTGTTGAGAAGGATTCTGAGGCTCAACAGAAAGGAGCCCTGAGATTAATTAGGAATGTCTGCCATGGGTGAAGAATAAGGTAGCACCAAAAAGCCTGCATGTACCTGCCATCTCTTCAAAAGCAGGATGCACGTCAGCATCTTCACATCACCACGTGATAGCATTGTGCCTGCAGCGAAGTAAGTACTTAATGTGGGGTACTTTAAAAAGTTCATGGAAAAATAGAATTTAAAAATACTACAAATCTTTCCATGAACCTTTTGAAGTACCCTCATACGTGTTTGCTGAATCCGAGATTATTATAATAGAAACATTGAGTTTATTGATCACGCAGTATGTGCCAGGCATTATCCTGTGCATTTTATACCTGGAAGGTATGCCTCGGTGTAGTCAGTGCTATCATTATTCCCTTTATACAAAGGAAAGCAAAGAAGCTCAGAGAGGTACAGTGACTTGATAAAGGCCACACAGTCAGACAGCAGCAGAATTTCAACAATTTGAAATTGAATTCGAAAGGACTTTGAATTAGAAATTTCAAGAACTCTGCAATTGTTCAGAAGTCTTCCAGGAGCCCCTACATCAGTGTCTCAACTGGAGGAGCTTTTGTCCCCTAAGGGGATACTTGCCAATGTACAGGGACATTTTGGGTTGTCACATTGGATGTATGTGTGTGTGTGTGTGTATGTGTGTGTGCTACTAGTATCTAGTGAAGAGAGGCCAGAGTTGCTGTTTAACATCCTATAATACACAGGAAAGACCCCCACAACAAAGAATTAACAAGCCCAAAATGTCGATAGTGCCAAGGTTAGGAATTCCTGATCTGGATGTTTCTCCACTTCTCTAGCCAGCTCCTTCCCACCCCCCAACCCCAGTCCCTCACTGAAAACAAACAAAAACAACGACAACAACAACAAAAAACACCCAGATGGTGCTTCTGAAGCTCAAGTCAGCAGAGAACAAATCTTCTTTTATTATAAGCACATTTCACTAGTAGATTCATATTCTAGTCATTCTGTTATTCTCAATTACAGCCCCTTTTCAAAAAGTAGATGTAATTAAGTTCAGTAGTTTGGTTTCATTTCCCAGTATCTGGTTTAAGGGGTGAATTCTGTCAATTACATTAAGTGGCTGCAGCATCATTAGTCTCAAGCAATAATAACCTCCACACGGCTTTCTATGTGGGTATGAAGATTTGAACTTTGAGATCCTCTCTCTCCTTTCTTCATTTGGATTTCATTAAACTTGCTAAGGCAAGCCTTAAAGCAAAGGGAAACTGTCGAGAGGGAAGAAGAGAAAAATCTATGAAAATCCAGGCCTTATCATAACAAAGAAGGCAAACAACATTTACAGCAATTAAACCGATACAGAAACTTCTGTTTGACAATCAAAGCACCTATTAAGATGTCTCCATAGCTGAACAAAAGCTTGTTTTCGACTCTCATTTTCTGATTACAAGTCATGCAGACACAGAGCCGTCTCAGGGGTGGAATAATAGATATTTCTTCTTATATATTTTCATTTCTAATGTATGAAAAGGGAAAGAGGTAGAAGGATGGACACTTCTTCCCCCCTTGCATAGGTTTGGCTGCTGATGCTCTCTGAGAAATTCCTCTGCATCCAGGGGGGATACACCAGGAGCTCTGGTCTTTGAAACACCTTGGTAGTCAGAGAGACAAACAGAAGTCCTGACAGAAGGAACCAGCACTAACAAAGCATCCACGCTACACATTGCTTCATAATGAAAAACTCAGGCTCTGACCTGGTGAGTTTGAGATCAAGCTAACAGATGAACCAGGCATGGGAAAAACACGTACACGTGTACACAGAGACGCAAGTAAAAATGGATGATGATAAAGCAAAGGAGGAGGAGAAAAAAGAAGAAGAAAATAGGAAATAAGAAGATTAAGAATAGATCTGCTTTCTGTCGAGTGCTTCCATGTGCCAAGCACTATTGCCAAACAAGCCCTTTACATACATTATCTCATTTAATGTAAACACTACAGTGCATGTACATACAAAGTATATCACTTAGTATCTTTAGCCCATTTCAATGGGGAAATCAAAAAGTCATGCCATTTGCTCAAGGTCACGTGGCAAGTAAATGTCAGAACTGGGATTTTAATTCAGGTCACATAGCTGGGGCAAAATAAATGACAGCTAATTTCATCCCCACTTCACAGATGGGAACACTGAGGCTTAGAAGCTATAAACAATTGTCTATAGCTAATAAGTGACTGAGCTGGGATTTAAACCACAGACAGGAACAAACTGGATGCTTCTAGTCCAGATTGCCCTTCTACATCCTCCTCAACCCATCCTACACAGTCAATGCCTCCTACCTCTGTCTGGGAAGTGCCAAGAAGGTCTGGAAGGTGATGTAATACCATAATGCCCTCACCCCACCCCAAAGATGTCCACGTCCTAATCCCTGGAACCGGTGAGTATGTTATCTTACACGGCAAAAAGAGATGTTGAAGATGTGATCAAATTAAGGATCTTGAGATGTGGAGATTACTCTGGATTACCTAGATGGGCCCAATATCATCACAAGGGTCCTTCCAAGAGGGAGGTAGGAAGGTCAAAGTCAGAGAAGGAGCTGTGATGATGAAAGTCAGGGTCTGAGTGATGTGACTACTGGCTTTGAAGACAGAAGGGGCCCCCAGCCAAGGAATGTAGCAGCCCTAGAAGCTGCAAAAGGCAAGAGGATGGATTCTCTCCTAGAGCCTCCAGAGGGAACCATCTCTACCAACACTTAATTTTAGCCCTGTGAGACCCATTTCTGACTTCTGTCATCCAGAACTGTAAGAAAATAAATTTGGGTTGTTTTAGCCACTGGGTTTGTGGTAATTTGTTTCAGCCAGCCTAGGAAACAGATACAGCACCTATCTTGTGCTAGGCACGGTTTTAAGAACTGGGAATATAGTGAACAGCATAACAAGTTTTCTGAGTTTAGAGTATAGTGGAGGAATCAGAAAGTAAATGAGTAAACAAATAAGAGCCCATGAGGAAAATAAATCAGTACATACTTAGAGGTTTGTTTTAAGGCAATGGCAACCTTG